AGAAGGAGAACTTGAGGGAACAGGAGAGTCGAGATGAGGGAAGGACAGAGACAAGAGTAAGGAAATAGATATTTTGATTGAGGGACTCGTTATGGGGCTAGCAAGAAACCTGGCACTAGAGGAATTCCCAGGAATCCACAAGGATGACCCCAGCTAAGACAGTAAGCAATAGTGGAGAAGGTGTACAAACTGGTCTTGCCTTGTAGTCAGACTGATGAATATCTTAAATGTCACCATAGAACCTTCATCCAACAACTGATGGAAACAGAGGCAGAGACCTGCAGCAGAGAACTGGGCTGAGCTCCCAGAGTCCAGTTGAAGAGTGGGAGGAGTGAGAATATGAGCAAAGAGGTCAAGACCAGGATGGGTACGCCTACTGAAATAGCTTACCTGAGCTAATGAGAGCTCACCAACTCTGGCCAGACAGGGAAGGAACCAGTATGGACCAAGCTAAACTCTCTGAATGTGGGGGACAGTTATATGGCTGGGGCAGATTACTGGGCCAGTGGAAGTGGCACCAGGATTTACCCCTACTGCTTGTACTGCTTTTTTCAAATCCATTCTCTTTGGATGGATACCTTGCTCAGCCTGGACATAGTGAGGAGGGCTTTGGTCCTTCCTCGGAGCAATGTGCCTTACCCTCTCCGGGGAATGGATAGAGGTGGGGGTAGGTGATGGGAATGGAAGGAGAGGAGGGAGTGGGAACTTGGATTGGTATGTAAAATGAAAACAGATTGTTTGTTTTCTTTTAAAAAAATAAAATAAAAAATCTTACACTCTGGATCATATGTCACTTCCTTATTGGCTGGCTTGGGTCTTTTTGAACAGGAATCCTTGCATGCACTTTTTGAGGGGTTTAGCTTTGTTAAAAATAGATCACATACACAAGAGTTTAAAGCTCCATGTGGCAAACACGGAAGTGGCGTATCTTTGCACATTTGGTTTAGAAAGACACTTTAGGGATGTCTACAATCTAAAACTGGTTACTCTGTTGTGATTTTTAGGCTAGTTTACTATGTGGATAAGTTGAATATAGAATACGAACAGAATTTGAAAGAAAATATAAACTCAGCATTTATATATGCATAGATATCTTCATATATATTCATGATTGAAACTATCAAGCAAAAACAGTACTTGAGGTTTTACACAACATGGAACAGAGGTTGGAGAGATGGCTCAGCCTTTCGAGTCATGACTGCTATTCCAGAAGACTCGGGCTCAGTACTCAGCACCCACACATTGCGCATAACCATCTGTCACTCAAGTTTAAGGGTATCTGATGTGTTCTTCTATACTCAGGAGGTACCAGGTACAAATGTGGTGTACAGATTTTATACACACACACACAAAATCAAAACTCCCATATGCATAAAATAAAAATAAATAAAAATTTCTAAAAACTGGAACATTATCATCATTCCTCAATCTTTTGGCTAAAATTCAGTATAGCATTCATTCTTATCAGTTCAAAAACTGGGCCATCCGACCAAGACAGGAGACGACACCCATCTGTAACCTAAGTAGAAGTAGAGGCAAGAGGGTCAGCCAGGAGTTCAAGGACATCCTTGGGAGCTGGGCGGTGGTGGCGCACACCTCGAGAGGCAGAGGCAGGAGGATCTCTGTGAGTTCGAGACCAGCCTGGTCTACAAGAGCTAGTTCCAGGACAGGCTCCAAAACCACAGAGAAACCCTGTCTCGAAACCCCCCCCCCAAAAAAAAGGACAGCCTTGGCTATGTAATGAGCTTGAGGCCAGGGTAGGTTACCTGAGACCCTATAAGCAAACAAACAAGCAAAGAAACAGAATTTGTAAAGAACTGGAACATCTATCTTAAAGTTCTTATAGCTGGACATGTACATTCTCGGTGAGAAAGTCAGAGATGCCCCAGAGAAGTGTCTGCAGGGCAATGCTCCCATTGGACCTTTGACCTAAATAGGGTGAGGTGCTTGACACCTAACCTACAGACTGTTGAACATTTGAGACTGTGATGGTTAGCATTTGTTAACCTAAGGGATCTAGAGTCATCCAGGAGACAAACCATCAGACATGTTTATAAAGAAGTTTCTAGACCAGGTTAATTAAAAGACCCACACTAATTGTGGACGGCACCATTTCATGGGCTCGGGTCTCAGACCAAATAAAGAGGAGACCCAGCATTAGCAGCTCTTCCCTCTCTTCCTGCCTTCCTGACATGATGGCTCTTCAAACTGTGAACCACAACAAATGCTTCCACGATAGCAAGAAAAGAAACTGAAATAGGGAGTCCATCTGTATGCCCAATGTCAGGTTTTAAAATATTTTAAAATTTTCTTATATGGAGTTAAGTTGCTCAACCTCTCTGAACTTCATTTTACTCACCTTTAAGATGGTAATTGTAATAATATATCTCACGCCAACAGATTTGCTATGACCATCAACTGGATACTATGTAAAAGAACATTGTGAAACATTCTTTAACTGTTAGTTAATAGGTATAAACAGATGAGCAGGATTTATAAACCTTATGGTATTGAGATAAAAATGGGTAAAGAATTGTGTGAGGTGATGTGTATAATGACATTTGTATAGAAAGATTAGTTTTTAAGACTTTAGAAAGTTGACAGTGGCCAGGGATGGCGGTGCACACCTTCCTAGCACTCAGGAGACAGAGTCAAGGTCTCAGTGAGTTCCAGGCCAGTCTAGTTCACGGTACAAGGTCTACACCAGCCAGAGTAGTGAGAGTCCCTGCTCAGAAACAACAAACTAGGTGTGGGGGGGCACGCCACTCAGGTGGTGGAGAAGACAGGCAGACCTGTGTGAGTTCAAGGCCAGCCAGGGCTATTACACAGAGAAACTCAGTCTCAAATAAAAAAAAATCCAAAACAAACAAACAAAACCCAAAAAACAACAACAACAACAACAACAAAAACAACAACAAAAAAAACACCAACAATTTAAAAAGCCGACAGTAGGAAACCCTGATCTTCTACTATGATGACATGCCTAACACTGGGACATAACAAGACTCCTCCAGTAATGTTCCCCTGAAAGATCCATAAGCAGTATGCGCAGGAACAGAAGGAGGCAATAAACAGATGATGATCGTGCACAGGTTTCAAAAGGTCACCCTCAGTAGAAACTACGAACTATGCCTTCAATTTTTCTTAGTACCAACCTGACCTAAACCAATTTAAAATTTTCATTTAAAGATAAAAACTAAAAGAGAGGTTATAACCAAATTAATACATGCTAATTTGATATGGACAGTACTGCAAATGACCAAATTTGTCACAATTTCAAAGATTTGTTTATTTACCTGATCTTACTGATTTTTTCAATACTAGGGGTTGAATATAGAGACTTAGGCAAAGGTAAGAATTCCACAACAGACATATTCCCAGTCTCTAAGACCAGCCTATTTATACTACATTTCCTGAAGTCTGCATACAGTGGTTCTCAACGTGTGGGTCACAACCCCTTTGGGGTGTCAAATGACCCTTTCACAGGAGCTGTATTCCAGATATTTATTTACATTACAATTCATTTGCAAAAAGTAGCACAATTAGTTATGAAGTCGCAATGAAAATAATTTCATGGTTGGGGATCAGCACTACATGAGGAACTGTATTAATGGGACACAGTGTCAGGAAGGCTGGGAACCACTTCCCCATGATCTCCGCCAGTCTCACTAAAATATTTATCACTTATATGTAGGTTACTACTAAATAATCATCTTTGATAATTTTCTCTTCTTAATTGTAGTTCTCCCATTTAATCTCCCTGTTTGTATGTTGGGAGGACATATTTCGACTCAGATATCCCAGTCTCCTAAAAATGAAGTTTCTGTACTTCATCTAACTTGACCCGCATCCTGTCACCTGACCCCCGACCCTCCTGCACAGCCATGCCAGAGCTAACATCATGCTTACTACCCTACTGACTCCCCGCACAGCCACAGCAAAGTCACTCTGTGCTTCCTATACTACTGATCCCCTGAACAGTCAAAGTGGAAGTCACAGTGTGCTTACTATCCTACTGACCCAGAAAGGCGTGTTTTCAACAGCTTCCCTTTGCGCTTCAAATCCACACCACACAAAAATCTCCATGTTTTCCCCATCAGAAGATTTATCGTCTTTTCCTTAGGATCCTGGGGCTGTCTCTCCAATCAGGCCTCCGAGATCTTTACACATAAGCCCCCTCACTCACCTTCAGACCTCCAGATGTTCTCTGATGTTCAAACTTCTGAGTATATATAGACACAGCTCAGATTCCTAAGTCCAGCATGCAAAGTTGATTACTTTTAACTTTTCCTCACACTGACAGTGCAACCTTTAATCACAAATGAAATGCCTTTACGTAAATATGCCTTGCTCTTTCCCACTTCCCATCTTGTGGGGTCACAGATGAAGGAAAGGCCTTCCTCTTCCTTTGTTTCCCATCCATAACCACTCAGTCATTCATTCAAGCATGCATTGAGTAATCCCAGTGTACCAGACCATAACAGCAGAGGTGAACAAGCCAGGGCCCCGGCCTTTGTAATATAAGACACTAACGAAGCTGGTACACGTGTACCAGTTCCGCTTCTTTTACTGTGAGAAAACACTATGACCACGGTAACTTACAGAAGAGTTTGTTTTGCTTACAGTTCCAGAGACAGAATAGCTGGCAGGCTTGGCAGCAGGTACAGGAAGCAGAGAGCTCACGTCTTGAACCACAAACAAAAAGCAGAGAGAACAAACTGGAAATGGCAGGGAGGATTTTTTTTTCTCTCAAAGCTTTCTCCAAGGATGTATTTCCTCCAGGAAGCCAAACCACCTGAAGCTCATGATAGCTCCACCAAGTGAGGACCACATGATCAAATGCTTCACACTAGGGGGACATTTCTTACTCAAACCACCACACCACACAATGGCTAATATTGATTGCTGCTATCTAGGGCAAACTAGGAGATAAGCCTCTGGGCTTGCCTGTGAGGGATTATATTGATGAGCACAATCAATATAATGTAAGGAAGACCCACCTTAAAATTGGGTGGCAGGATTGCCTGGGCTGGATATCTGAGCATGTACACTCATTTCCCTCAGCTTCTCGATGGCAGACGCAATGTGACCAGCTGCCTCCAGCTCCAGCGGCGTTCTCCACCATGTGGGACTATGGACCAAAATAGGCCCTTTTCCTCTGAAGTGATGCTTGCCAGGGATTTCAGTCACAGTAGCAGGAAAAGTCACGCACACACAGTAAAAAGGAGACATGAAACAGGGCTGATGCTCACACAAAATCAGCTAAGGACTTTAATCTTTTTTCCATAAAATTTGAGAGGAATGTCTCATATTTTGTGTATGAAAATCCACTTTGTCAGCCATCAAGCCAGGATGAAGATGTGTCACATAACCCAGGAAGGATGGGAGCTAACTGGCTACAGCCAAGAAAGACAAAACACATCCAAGTGGGCAAAGATTCCACATCAGGCGTCAAACATTGTTACAACTCATCTGTCTATTCATGGACTAGCAAGAGGCTCTCCCATAGACGCTACTGTTTCTACTGGGTTTGACCCCTTATGTCCTGATAGAGTCTAGCGTATTTAGTCTTTAATGTATTTGTAGCCACTGGGAGGACTTGGGGTCAAGCTACAAGATATGCCATAGATCCAATGGGCATTTGTTCTGCTCTCTTTGGTCACGATATTAATTTAAAAAACAATAACAAAAAACATCCTCAGCAGAATAATGGATGTTGCAAACCTGAGTAGTGTTTATGATGTAGTTGGTGGTGATCCGTCCTTTGTAACATTTGTAACCCCCTGGAAACCACCTAATAAGATAAAACTGTTTTCTCAGATTGTCACACTCACATTTATCTGCTCCTTGCTTGTGCTTGCGGGAAGACACAGTTCTCATTATTTTTTAAGTAGAGTCATAACCCTTTTGTATTATGTAGAAGCAAACAATAATCGATATTCAGAGAGTTGGTGCAATATATCTGCACCAAGAATGAAGGAGGAAACCAGAGACTGAGAAAAGAGGAGAGAAGAAGCAGGTGCAGAATACGAACAGGTGTTTCACAGAGGCCAAAGAAACCAGGAATGGAAGCAGACACAGAGATATGTAAGCATCATTTAGATGCGGGAGTCAGGCACAGGGATCCACACACAGAAGAGAATGTTGCAGAAGGATCGTGGATTGATGTGACACCAGAGCATAGGGAAGGACACAGGACCACCTGCAGTGGCTGGGGACATGGGTAGTTGGGAGAATGGCCCACAAATGCTGCAAACAGGTAATTTTCCCTCAGTACTCCCTGGGGAGAGAGACACAGTTGCTATGCTTCCCCACCTGAACCAGCTACATAATTCTACCTCTGGAGCCTTGTGCGGAGTTTCCGTCAACCATACACCATACACAATGAGCTATAAATATTTAGCTCTGTGCCCCCAGGGAATCCATAGCTCAGTGGGATGAGTTATTCATGTTTATGTGGAAAAAAATGTTCAGCGCCTCACAGTGCTCAAGTCCCCAGGTTCAAGCTCATTGTGTAGAAGTTCCTATATACTTAGTTTACTTCTGATTAATATTTGGCAACAATTTTATCTCCATTTTAGACTGTTCGTTTCTTGAGGTAGTTGTGGTGGTGGTGGTTCTGCAGATTGAACCAAGGACTTTGTATATTCTAGGCAAGCACTTCTTCACTGAGCTATAGCCCCAGCCTGGATTGATCATTTCTCTGTGAGGATAATAGGAAAATAAAAGGAGGAGAAAGATAACCAGGGACCGGGTATATAAAACAGTCACTGGACTTGGTGGCTCACACTGCAATCCCATGTCTTGCTCCTCTGTTACCGTGTTCGAACATTGAACAAAAGCCACATGGGGAAGGAAAGGGTTTGTTTGGCTTACGGGTTTCAGCCCATCACTGAGGGATCCATGGTAGGAAGTCCAGGCAGGAACTGAAGCAGAAACCATGAAAGAGCATTGTTTACTGGCATGCTCCCTCAGCTCAACATTGGCTTTTTTACACAGCCTGGACCATCTGTTGGATGGAGACACTGCCCACAGTGAGATGGGTCCTTTAACATCAATCAGTAATCAAGAGGTGCCCCCCAGGATGCCCACCAGCTGACCTGAGGGCAGCAGTTCCGCAGCTGAAGTTTCTTTTCCCCAGTGACACTAGTTTGTGTAAAGTTAACAGAACTAACCAGGGCATCCCAGGATGTGAGGAGCAAAGGCAGAGGATTGCCGTTTGAGGCCAGACTGCACTACACAGGAAGTTACAGAACAACCTGGGCTACAGAAACAGGAGAGGAAGAGGTGGGGGAGTTTCTAAAGCAGACAGTAGGGGGGTCTCTTCTGCATCCATATTTAGAAGAAAGGATCACAAACTGCGTGGGGGTCGCAACACTGTGGCACAGTTGTAAGAAAGAGAACACAGAACTTAGAGTCACTAAATCCTGTTCACTTAAGACAGAAAGACAGGAGTGCTCCTTATGCAGGCCAAGGTGCTTACCTTACCTCTCAAAATGTGGAAGGATCTACAACGTAACTTTGACGTGGACATTATTACCTAGGGAATAGTTTTTATCTACAGTGTTCCTAAGCTAGAACATTCCACTCTTCCATTGCTTAGTTTGCTCACCGAAGACAGACAGACAGACAGACAGACAGACAGACAGACAGACACACACACACACACACACATATCCATTTTTTGGCTTTCCTTTCTTCCTAATTCCACATGTTGTATTATGTATCAACCATCCTCACTCCTCAAGTACCCAACTCATCTTTTAGAACTGAACACAGCTTGTGGGGTATACCTGTAACCCCAGGACTCAGGAGACCCAGGTATGATGATTATGAGTTTGAGGTTAGCCTGGGCTACATAGTAGAAACTGCCTCAAAAAAAGAAAGAAGAAAGACAGAAAGAGAGAGACAGAGAGAGAGAGAGACAGAGAGAGAGAGAGAGAGAGAGAGAGAGAGAGGAGAGAGATGGCTCAGCAGTTAAGAGCACATTGGCTGCTCTTCCAGAGGTTCTGAGTTCAATAACCAACAGCCACAAGGTGGCTTGATGAGATATGGTGCTCTCTTCTGACCTATGTGCAAGCAGAACACTGAATTTCCTTTGAAATATATATATTTCCTTTGAAAAACACTTATTTGAAAAATACCTTTAAGTATTTCCTTGGCACATGTTTATGATTTGTTATCTATGTGACTGTGTTCCTATAGGCACATGAGTATAGATTCCTGTGGAGGCCAGAGAAAGACTTTGGAATCTTTGGAGCTGAAGTTCCAAACAACTATGAGCCCCCTTGTGTGGCTGCTGGGAACTGAACTTGGGTCCTTTGCAAGAACAGCAAGCCATCTTTACTGCTGAGCCATCTGTCCATACACCTCCTTTAGTATTTTATATTGCTATCGTGAATCACTTACATTTTGAAATGTGTTTATTCAGTTCGTCTGTCTCCCAAGCAGATCTGAAGCTCTTAAAGTCTGTGCCATACAAGCTGGTTGCGAGCTGCAGTCTCTTCAAGCAGATCTGAAGATCTTACAAGATGGTGGTAGCGAGCTGCGGTCTCTTCGCTCTCCTGGCAGCTCCATTAATATTTTATTTCTACCCCTGCTCATTTCTGAACTAATGGCTGTGGTTTTATGCTACGGTAGGCAGGCAAAAGTGGAAGTTTTCAATGTCTCCTTTTTATTTCTAAAGTAGTTTAAACTGTGCTGTTGGCTCCTAACTTGAACAATCTGCTCCCTCCCCCTTCCTTCTTCAATTTCCCATCAGACTGGAAGAGAGAACCAAAGGCACCATGTCTTTAGTTTTATAAAACATAGACCTGAGTCTAGAAACCCAAAGAAGAAATGCTTTGACAGTGTGGCATGTCCCTCCAACTGCATCCCTGGCACCTCTCTTCTGTGCAGACAGCCATGTGTCCTTAGAGGTAAGGACAGGGAGGAGATGGCAGGATGTCTGAGAAGGTGACAGTCATCAGCTTTCCATGGTGACCTCGTTGATTGCAGTAGAGCAGACAGGACAGCCATGATTCCCCAGTAGAGCAGACAGGACAGTCATGAGTCCCCAGTAGAGCAGACAGGACAGTCATGAGTCCCCAGTAGAGCAGACAGGACAGTCATGATTCCCCAGGAAATGATGGCCACTGTGAATACAGGAACTGTAGGTTCAGGCTTGGATACTCCAGCCAGAGCACTGTGAGGATTTTCATTCTTAAAGCCAATTGTTTGCAGAGTGCCATCACTGAGACAGGCATCAGGAGTGACCACAGGTTTAAAGAGCTGAGGGCAAAGCATCCAGAACACAACTGGCTCTAAGCTGAAAGTCTGGGTTATTGGCCCTGGTTTGTACCATCTGTAGTGCTTTGGGACAATGGTCTTGTACTCTGTAAAGATTTGTCACTTGTATTGGTTTAATAAAACACCGATTGGCCAGTAGCCAGGCAGGAAGTATAGGCGGGGTGACCAGACTAGGAGAATTCTGGGAAGAGGAAAGGCTCAGTCTGCAGTCATCACCCAGACCAAGAGGATGCAAGATGAGAATGCCTCACTGATAAAAGGTACCAAGCCACGTGGCAAACACAGACAAGAATTATGGGTTAATGTAAGATGTAGGAGGTAGTTAATAAGCAAGCCTGAGCTAATAGGCCAACTGGTTTATAATTAATGTAGGTCTCTGTGTGTTTCTTTGGGACTGAACGGCTGTGGGACCGACCAGGTGGGACAGATACCTCTGTCAGCAGCGGAGCCTTGAATCTGCTGCATTACTGGAAAAGCAGCAGGGTGACAGCATTACCTTAGCAAGCAGGGACTCGGGGTCAGGCGGAAGCATCAGTCTAGGTGAAGGAAGACTGACCAGAGTAGGTATGAGAGGAAGCAGGAGGGGGCAGTGCCACCATTGAGGGAAGAGCTTGGCAAAGGGACAGAGGGCCTCTAGCATGGTGGGAGATGCAATTTTGTGTTGCATTTAGGACCCCATGGGTGTTGTAGAATATTAGTTAAAGATGTGTTACATTCCTGGGCGGTGGTGGCACATGTCTCTAATCCCAGCTCTCAGGAGGCAGAGGCAGTGGATCTCTGTGAGTTCAAGGACAGCCTGGTCTATGGAGCGAGTTCCAGGACAGGCTCCAAAACTAGAGAAACCTTGACCTTGACTCAACCCCTCCACAAAAAAAAAAAAAAAAAAAAAAAAAAAAAAAAAAAAAAAAAAAAAAAAAAAGAAAGAAAGAAATAAAGAAAAAAAAGAAAAAAGATTTGTTACATTTGTTTGTGCCATGGAACATTTGTTTAATGATATAAATATGTGTTGCATTCTTTCATGTTACATTTGTTTAACTCTGTGAAGCTGTGTTACTTTGCCTGTCTAAAACACCTGGTTGTTCTAATAAAGACTTGAATCACCAAGAGCAAGGCAGGAGAAAGGATAGGTAGGGGTGGCAGCCAGAGAGAATAAATGGAAGGTGAAATCTGGGGATCTAGGAGCAAAAGAAGGAGGAGGAGGAAACCACTGGTTAGTCGCGGAGCTACACAGCAAGTCACAGAGTAAAGAAGTAAAGAAGGGTTTACATAAAAAGAGAAAGATAAAAGCTCAGAGGCAAAAGGTAGATGGGATAAGAAAAGCTGGCAAGAAACAAGCCAACCTAAGGCTAGGCATCCATAGGAAATAAGCCTCCGTGTATTTATTTGGGAGCCCGGGGGCAGACCCTCAAAGAGCAAAGAGTAAAAACAAACAACAAACCAACTACACGTTGGTGAGGGTTTCAGCAGAGGGAAAAAGTCGGAAGTCAGAGAGTTGTAGAAGAGTGGACATTGGAAAGGGAAGTGCGTACATCTCAGCCCTCAGAACTCTGCTGAGGCCAGAGGTCCTAAGAACCAGGCCAGGTTGGTTGGCATAACAAGTCTGTGTTTAAAAAATACAGACACCCCAGAAGTGAGATGCAGTCGTAGTCAGAGTTGAGGGTCACAGGTTGATTAGCTGGGGCCCTGCAGAAATGAGATGGGACCAATCTGAATGTCAGTTCCCTTAGAAATGTTCACAGACAGCAGAACCATTTTAAACCAAGCATCTGGGTAATCTATGGTCCAGGGATGCTGACACATAAAATTAATCTTCACTGGCATTGAATTGAATTTAGATTTATTTGAAAAATATTTGGCATAGTGTGTGTAATGTAATTGATTTTTACAGAACCTTAAATTGAATATAGAATTTAATTCCTTGACAAGGCAAGAAATCAGAACCCTCTCTATTAATGAATGAGTCTGTGTAGAAGCCAAAACTATTGGGAAAAATTAAAAAATAAAGAGCCAGGAATGGGGGTGCTCACCTCTAATGCCAGCACCTGGGCAGTCCAGGCAGGAGGACTGTGAACTTGACCTAGCTTGGATGACACAGTAAGACTGGCCTGGGCTGCACAGTAGGACCGTTGAGTTCAAGGATAGACTGGTCTACATGGCAGGGTTCTGGCCAGCAAGGGCTGCATTGTGAAATCCTGTCTCAAGAAGGGAACAGAAGCAAAGGCTTAGTGGTTAAGAATATTTGCTCCTCTAGCAGAGGTCCAAGGTTAGGTCCCACCCCCACATGGCATCCCACAATCTGCTACTCTAGTTCCAAGGGGTCTGGCATTCTCTTGTGGCCCCCCAGATCACCAGGCACACAGTGCACACACATACATGTAGGCAAGCACACATGCCCCTAATATAAAGAAATAAATAAACCTAGAAAAGAAAGGGTGGGTTGTGTTTGCAGTTGTTTTATTTGCTATTGCTTCATTCTATGTTGCATTAGGAGCGGCGGGGCTGCGTCCCCGGCACCCGGCCACCCGCATGGCTAGCTTATGCCCAGAAATAATTAAACGGAAACTGTATTCTTTCAAACACTGCCTGGCCAGGCTAGTTCCAGCCTCTTATTGGCTAGCTCTTACATATTGTTCTAGCCCATTTCTAATATTCTGTGTAGCCCACGAGCTGGCTTACCAGAGAGGATCTTAACCTGCGTCTGTCTGGAGTGGGAGAATCATGGCGACTCCTCGACTCAGCTTCTTTCTCCCAGAATTCTCTTCTGTATACTCCGCCTACCTAATTTTCTATCCAATACAATGGGCCAAGGCAGTTTCTTTATTATAATTAACCAATGTCCTTCCTCCATCAATTCTACTTCTCACTTCCTGAAAGTCACAGAAGTTCCATGGAAAAGAGACTTTATTTCTAGACATAACAGATGCCACGGGGAAAGGAACAACAACAACAACAACACCCCACCAAATATCAGCCATAGATCCAGAGAAAAGCTAGCTCAGCATCTCACAGATGCTTCCCAAATAGAATACCATCCTCAAGACAGATCGTTTCCAAATTAGTGGGGGTGTGATATGCATAGCTGAATCCAGCAGGCAATTGTGAAGAGAACAATATGTTTTCTAGTCTTAGCACAACATATAGGAAAGAAATATGAGCAAATAGTTAGCTGTATGAATATTTGAACATTGCAACAACAGAGAGTAGCCTGTGTTAAGATCATTGATAATTCAGAATATTCTATCCATTCATTACATTAATGTATTTTATTAAAGCTGTAGTCATTCCTAACTGCTTATCAACATTTTTCTACTATGAGTAAAAAGCTTTTATAATGTAAAGGAGTGTTACCAAAACAGGAATAGTGAAAGCCGGGCAGTGGTGGTGCACTCCTTTAATTCCGGCACTTGGGGGGCAGAGGCAGGCGAATCTGTGCCTGGTCCACAGAGCAAGTTCTAGAATAGCCAAGGTTACAGAGAAACACTGTCTCCAAAAAACAAATGTGTGTGTGTGTGTGTGTGTGTGTGTGTGAGAGAGAGAGAGAGAGAGAGAGAGAGAGAGAGAGAGAGAGAGAGAATATATAATATAGGAAGTCAAACTGATGGAGCTTGGTAATGGATTCCATGGAGGGAGTGAGAGAAAACTGAAGTGTCATGAATGTGGCCTCGTGAGGTTTCTGAGTGAAACAGTGGCCCAGGAAACCTGGAAGGATAGAGTGGAGCACACACTTCATAGACAGGTCTGGGCATCGTTTGCGGTTGCCATAGCGTCTGCCTGCACTAGAGCCGAGTAGAGTGCTCCAGTATCGTCTACCTGGGGCTGGTATACCATTCACTAGTTCAGAATGTGAACACAGAATTGCACTGACTCTATGACCCCTCCTCCCTCTTATCTTTTTAGCATGATTAGCAGGCATTGAGCAGGTGGGGAATATGGCACACTTGGGAGTGTTTGCTAGCACAGGAAGGCTTGCTTGAAACAGGTGCACACCTGTAAGGTCAGCTCTTTGCAGGCTGGGCAGGTGGACTGGGAAAGTTTCAAGTCAACTAGGGCTACCTATGGAGACCTTGTTTCAAAAAAAAAAAAGAAAAAGAAAAAGAAAAAAAAGAAAAGGAAAAGAAAAGAAAACCCAAATTCCTAGATTTTTCTAGATTTTTTTCTTGTTTAGAGATGTCTGGCTGACTTTTTCCTTCTAGCCAGCAGATGGCAGTGTTTTATCTTCTTTAAGTATTTGTAATCACAGCTTTTGTTTTGGATCCTCCATGAAAAAACAAGGGCTTTTGAGAGTTCACCTTACATTCTTTAATCCCAAACTCCCTTAAACTCCTGCTCAATTTGCCTTTTACTTGTTTGGTGCAAACAATTGCTACTAGTTTTGTAAACAGGAAACCCTGCTTTTGTTTCTTCGTTTGTTTGTTTTGTCTTGTGATTTCTCTGGGTAACAGCTCTAGCTATCCAGCTCTTGTAGACCAGGGTGGTCTTGAACTCACAGAGATCCTCCTGCCTCTGCCTCCTGAGTGCTGGGATTAAAGGTGTGCACCGACACCACCCAGCTTTCTCTCTCTCTCCTCTCTCTCTCTCTCTCTCTCTCTCTCTCTCTCTCTCTCTTTTTGACAAATTTACAGTGTGAGGCTCAGGTTGGCCTCCAGTTCTTACCACCACAATTATTTTCTTTAATTTTATTTCTTAACATTTTTTTTCTGAAAAAGTCAATGATTCCCAGAAATTTCAACAATACAGTTCCATGTATTTAATTGCAGAGGGCAGAGTTAAAGATTTGATTGGTTTTCCTTTCCCATCAGAAAGATGAACCCCTTCAACTGGAAAGTCTCTGACTGCTGTCTCATTCCCAAGGTACATTGTGTATTGACAGCCTTTAATAATTTTTCCCCTGTAACTGTTTGATGTGTGAAGTAAATCCAGCACACATACAGCTAACTTGCACCCGTGAACACACCACAACAACAGTGGTTTTGAAGTTCTCTGCTCTTCATAACGCCTTCAAGACAAATGAATAAATGGGAAATCAACATACAGACGGCCTTGAGCTCTGCGGAGCAAGTCCGAGCCTTTCGTCTCAAAAGCACAAACAAGGAGAAAAGATTGAGAGACTTGAGCTGTATGCAGGAATGAGATCCCCTTCAAGGCAGTCTCCACAATATCCCATTTCTGTTACCATCATGACCGTTATGATACACAAGAGCAAAACCGTGTTCCGTTTCCATTCCCTCCTGAGGTCTTGTTACTCCAAAGCTTATAGAAGCGCAAACAGAAACAATATAGCAACCTACAAGTCCCCCAAACAAAAGGAACGCTCCAGTACCTCCTCTGAATGTATGTACAAGAACAACAGAAAATGCCTCTAATTGGAACTTTCCAAAAGCATTTCTCCCCAATTAGAGTCAGTAATGACTCTAAATGGCACTGTCTCGGGGACAGCTCATCAGTTAATTATAAGGAGCCCTCGAAATTGAGGAGGGAAGAATGATACTCAGTTTTGATCAGTGCAGATAAATATGGCTTGTCATTATTCACTCGATATTTTAGACAGTCCATCAGAGGAAAACAAAGAACAAAAATAATTGTCTTTAAAAAGAACAGAGATTATGAGAATAAAACTGAACATTTACTTAACTCTGTCTTCTTGTCTGGGGTGTTTTTTTCCCCCCAACACTCCGTTCATACAATCCCTGGAGACACCCATTTGCTTGCCCAGTTTCTCTTCCATCTGGTTCCTCTAAACAAGGGGAAACAATGGTAATTCCATTGTTGTAGCTAATAACCTGGGAAAATGGAAATACATTTTAAATATAATAGTTACATAATTTAACATATAAGTAAAATGTGAATGTCAAAGGTTAAAGCCTGCATAATTTTTGTCTTCTAACATCTGTAGTACTCTATGTTCCAGTAACATCTTAAAATTAGAGCATTTACTTGATATATACACTGTATATAATGTATACATATATGTATATATATAATCCCATCAGCTAAAATTTAAACTAATTCTTCTGTCTTATAAATATAAAAGAAGCTATTGTAAAAATAACAATTTTTCAGCTTAATGTTTATCTTAACAGTTTTCAGAATTATCATTTAAAACGTTCTTCCCTCCTCATGTATTTTTTATGATTATTTTTCTCCATCTTCTTTCTCTTGTGCTTTGCGTGTTTGTGTTCATGGAGTTTCTGGTCACCACGGATGTGTGGCTTTTGCTTGCTGTCAGGCGAAGCCTCTCAACTGCTCCTGTCTACGGCCACCTCCTCGGTGACCTGGAGTTAGGAAGCAGACTCCCGATGCAGAACTGTTTAGAAATAGCCCTTCAGCTTCCCCTATCCCCTAAGGAGTTTGCTGCACATGCCTAGAACTCCTTCCATCTGGCCTCCGCACAAAGGGCTTATGCCACTTTAACACAAGGCTTTGTTTTATGAGGAGTTCATCTGAGGGAATACGTAGGACACAACAGTCACGTTGCTGGAGAACCTGCTCTGACCAGTTTTTTTTTTTTTTTTTTTTTAAATACTTAAACTCAAGATGACAGAAACTACATTTGGCTGACGACAAAGACCAAGGAAGGTAAGGGCTGTGATGTTGACAGATCTGAAGCCGAGCTGAGGAAAAGCCACTGCCACGGCTCTTTCCTGGCCATCCTTACAATTCCTGTGTTTGGATGGCTTCAGCAGAACAAGGGTAGGTGGCTACATGGATGCGTGTGCACTAGAATAAAACCTTTGTGAGCCTGACTGGAAGACAGCAACTTTATAGCAATCTTAGCCTTTTCAACAGAAAACGTATGTAATTAGTGGACTAATGACTTAACTTTCATACATTGTTTTCCTTCCAATGTACACCAAGAATTCGCAAACCTCTTATTTAAGCTGAAAATCTTCCTTTTAAAAATGCATGGTGGGCTCCGTGTTGGCTCAACTGAATTTTCTCCTCCCAAGTGGCCGCACCATCCCACAGCTCTTCNTCCCCCCCCCCCCCCCCCCCCCCGCACTCCCCGTCTTAAGATTCGAGGATTTTGTGGTACTTTTGTCTAATGCTAGATTGGAGAAACTAAATCTAAAGAGTAAACACCAAAGGGTCACAAGGGAAAGAGAGCAGCAACAAGGAAATATAAGCAGGCATACCCCTCCCCCACACAGCGACTTGACTTTTAATGATTCATTTAAAACTGTTACAGAGTGCTACAGCAAAGACTATTTGGGTCCCCCACCCCGCGTCCTCCCCTTTCCTGCCTCCTTCATCCTCTATCCCCACCCCCCTCTCACCCTGCAGCCCTAGCACAGGCCTTTCAGGCCTGGCTCTCCACACCTGGATAAGGTATATTCCGCTGCCATCAGGCACCTACAAAAGGCAGCAGGAACTGTGACCCCCCACAGATGAGTTCTGGGTTTGCCAGTGGTGCTGAATCTTTGGGTTTAGTGAGGAAATCATTACAACGGAATCCACTTCCAAACACAAACTGGCTTTAAAAAAAAAAAAAAAAAGGAAACAGCAAGTCCAAATTGCTTCGTTTTTCTTAGAGGAAATCCTGAAACTGCTGTAGATTGCAGCGTTGGAAAAACAAGCTCATGTTTCCAGTTTCTGTAAAGCGCCACTTCCCCACTCTGAGCTGTTCGAAGGAGTTCAAGCATTCATGCTGACTCAGTTTGTCCCCGCTGCCAGAACAGAAGCGTGACCCGAATGGTCTGCTGGGTTGACTAGGAGCAGAGACAAGCTGATGTCTGCTTAGCTGTTTTAGGTTTAACAATACATATTACTAGGTCCAGACATTGTGTTGGTCAGATCTATAGATCTATGGCGGTATAAATAAATAATGCATCTTTCCAGAAAGAAAGGGCAAACCTAAAACCTCTGCTGATGGTCTCAAGGTCACTGACCCAGGACAACCCTAGAGACT